CCCCAAAACCCCAAAACCCCAAAACCCCGCGGAATTCGAGAGTGAGCATCATAAAGTGTCATTAGAATAAAAATAAGTTAAAATGAAAAAGCTTTGTCTGAAAAAGATAGGTATAATAATAACTCAGTTGTCTTATCCATCTTCCGACTACTTCTTCTCTTCTTCCTCTTATTTTTACTTTTAAGTCTTATATGCTTATTTTCCCGGCTCTTTCATTACCAATTAAGCGCCGTCCTTTAAATTATAATCGAAAAAAGTCTTATTGAAGTCTTCTATGAGTCTTTCCGACTTTTTCTCAACAACTATATGCTTCCTTTGCAAGAATAGCTTGAAAAAGTGAACTTTAGACCTCAAAACATCTATCTAGTCTGTTGGCTATACATATACATCTTATTAATAACCCTTTCCTTTGCCTTGCACTTCAATAGATATCTTTTAAGTTATCTCTACCTCTAATTAGGCTCCGTGAACTAAAATGTTTGCATCTTCTACTGATAACTTATCATCTGTGATTTCCTCACCATTAAGATACAGCTTCAGCGATACTTTATCTTAGATTTGTAACTCATCCTAAATATTCTTTTTCAGCTATCTAAGACGTAGGGATCTAGATACTCTCGTCTTTGCCTCTTGAAGTTAACCTTCGTCAGCATTACCACTTCTAATCAGATAATACAGATCTTCTTTAGGCTCCTCTTTTGCAGGTTTTTTGTTTCTTGGAGCAGATGAAGTCTAAATCTTGTCAAGTATCTCCACCAAGATAGTGGCTCCATCTTTAATAGCTAAGTCTTCAATTGAAATTTGAGATTTTCTAACAATATCACCGCCCTCTTCCTATAGCTACATCTGATCGACATTTACGTCTGAACCCGCCTTTTCTTTTATTAACTGTTTTAGCTGCTTGATTCTGATCGAGTTTTGAACCTAAATGCTGAGAGGTTCATCAATACCGGGGTACTAGACCAAAAAGGTCAATGGATAGTGCTTCTTTTTAAGCTGCTTCTTCTTTCCATTGTCATTCTTATCATCATCTAGTGGTAAACCTATAACCTATTGACTCAACAATTAGCTCATTTGAGGATGCCCTGACCCACCATTGCTTATTTGAATCAGATCATTAATCTTATTATCCTCAAGAATTTAATTTTAAGCCTAGTATAATTCTTACTCTTTCTACTAATGGTTTCCATCCCCATTAATCTATTCCTTCTAATTGGGTTAATTTTTACCAACAAAGTCTGCAATCTTCTATCTAGCTAAGTTGGCCTGTTGATAGTATTAGTCAAAATCCTACAAACTCTGCTATAGGTAATAGATCTTTTCATTGTTAGGAAGGTTCTTGTACTTCATCAACCTATTTATCATATGATTGTGAGCCTCCTCAAAAATTCTATCATCATTAATGTATTATAGAACTTGATCAGGCTTTATGTAGAGAGGGATCTCTTTCTTTGACTGAATAAACTGGTCGAAAGTTTGTAGCTATTTAGTCATATGGTCAATAGCATCATTTATGATTTTTTCTATCTTCACAAATTCATGGTTTCCGGAGAACCCTCCTAATTATGGATCCACATAAGTATGCTCTTGCAGACAATAATCACATAGAGGTAGTTGATGAGTTCTGCAGTACTGCCCAATATCCTAGTTGTGAACGGCGCAGATAGCGAAAGGCATATTTAATGGCATCATTTACATCTGCCCGTAAGACCTTAATGAGGGGAGCATTGTGTGTTGTTTATTAATGGGTTCCATCTATTGTAGAAATTACTATATCTTAACTCTTTTTTAGTTAATAAGTACTAAAGAACTGAGTCCTCAACCCATTTCTTTAATAAAATTCAACTTCAATAAATTTCATGACTTTTATAAAATGTTTGTGCATGGGGTTTTGGGGTTTTGGGGTTTTGGGG